TTTGCTGGCTCGGGCTTCTTGGTCGGCGAGTTGAAACAGCTCCTGACTGAACGCCGCCTGTTGTCGTCGATCTACCAAATCCGAACTTCGTTCCTCTATGTCAGCAACCTCCTGCTCCAGTTCCTCCAAACGTGCTCTCTTCCTCAAAGAGCTGTCCTTGCATCTTTTGAGCTCAGCTGAAATCCCCTTCTTTGCCATCTGGGCGATCCCGTGGTTCTTTACGATTTCGGCATAATCTAACAGCCTGGTCCATTCCGCCGAGTCCAATCCACGAAGATCCTTTGCTCGTCTTTTTAACTCTTCAGGCAATTGAACCAGCCCCGACTCGTCCTCTGGGACCTCTTCAGCATCATAAAAGGGTTCTGTAAACACACAATTTTTAAATCAGTCACAGTATTAATCGTAAAAAAGGGATTTCCCTGCAGTAATAATAAAAAAGAATTACCAGGCAACAATAATGACTCTTCTAGGTAACCTAGCAGGAGTACCTGACAACTTCAGCGTGGACTTGGTCTCCAAAGGGGAAGTCGTTCTAGACAATTTTTAAATTTTGTCGACAATTAGCACTTTCCGTTTTAATTAAAGTATTCTTTTATTGTTTATACCTATGATCAGCGGATTCACATCATCCATTCTGCGTTTCGTTTATTAAAATCAAAATCCCTTTTGCAAAAAATTCACGAGTTGTTCTCAAAATTTCCTCGAGGAAAATTTTTACACAAAATCTGCTTGTTCACCCGTCTGAAAAGGCACAAACATTAATGGCAATTCTCACTTTCTTTAGTCCTCTAGGACATCACTCACTAGTTTGTAATTCGAAAATCATAACCGCGACAAGGGATCTGAAAGGATTTGGAGACTCTCTAATGGAATCTATGAAAGGGAATACGAAACCTGTCATTTCAATTTCACACTTCTTGAAAACCTCATTCTTTCCTACAAGGTCTTCTTCAATCAATCTCAAACTATGAGCTTTGAATGATATCTCTTTATCATCGGAGAATTATTGCGGAGAATTATTGCGGAGAATTATTGCGGAGAATTATTGCGAAGAATTAATACGGGAAATTATTGCGGGAAAATAGCTCAGAGAATCAAAGCTGAAACGGGATCAAAGCCAAAGGGAAAAGAATCAAAGCTGAAATGGAATTAAAAAGCTAAAAGGGAATAAAATCTGCATCAAAGGCAGGGTAATTAAAGTCTAATTCACGGAGCGCTCCTAAATATCTCTGAAGTAAATCAAGAATTATGAGACAACTTGAGCAAAACTATTTTTAAGTATGGATCTCGATCACGACGACAGCACCGACACGACGAAATGCGCACTACAAACAGGAAGTCGACTCTTTTTTTTCTTATATTTTCTCGAGTGTTTTCCTTCTATCTAAGTAGGGCCTGGCCAGCCCGAAAAGAGAACTCTTTTAATCCAACTTTTTTCACTCAGGGATAAATAGCTCTTCCTAGATCGCCGAAAAATTCCAAACTGAACTCGAAAGCTCCGGAACTGCTGGTTTTTATACTCAATGGACACTCTCAAGGCCTATACAACGGAAACTGAAGTCAAGACTTATCCGGTCTTTCGTTGAAACAAGTTAACCGGGGGGGGAAACAAGTTTTTACTCTAATGCTGTTCCGAGAAAACCGGTCGTAAAACGGAAGGGAATTGACGTCGCGTCACATTTTTCAATTCGCGAGAACTTGTTTGCCAAGATTTACGAGCGCGCATGTGTTCACTTTTCTCGTTGAACTGACTCACTTCTGGTTAACTTCACCTCTTAAATTGATGCACTTTCGCTCGTTTTCAACGCACTTTTGTTTTTTCTGAACCATAAGTCCTTCAAAGAATCAAAAACAAAAGGGGGGGTTTTGTCGAAAATTTAGATGAGGGGTGTTTAGAAACACGAGATTTGCTAGGAATCGGCAAAAGACCAAGCAGATATTCTTGCTTCCTCTCTGAAAATATACCAATTTAAACTAGGACGCTGGTCCCGACCGCAGCCCGGCTGATTATCTGGTTTTATTTACAATCCTTTTGTTTCGATTCATATTCAGTATAAATTCCTCGATCCTTCTTTTTTCATCTGAAGGAAAATTCTAATTTTCTTTCCTTGTCTGAAAGCAGTGTAAAAAATCTCTTTCTGACACACAGTGCACCAAATTTCAGTGACTGAAAAACTTCAATACAGTAGTTCAAAAGTAAGACACCAAGATTCAAATTTAAACACAAATCAAACCTGAATTCAATGAATTTACAATTATTTTGAACTAAAAGAAGTTTCTTTCAGAAATTTACCATTATAATCAAGCGTGACACACACCAAAACGTGTAGAATTTCTTGAAAATTATGAACTGTATCTGCCTATGACATGCACCCTTTACGACTCTCAATTTTCAGAAAAATGATGTATTTGGTACTTGAGTAAATACAGTATTTACTCAACTCATGAGTTGATTATTGGACATTTTAAAGGGATCTGGAAATATTATTATAACTACATAATTTAGCTGAACAACATGGTTGAGGGACTCATTTGTTTTAGGAATTACTATTCTGCTTAGCTTTTTTTTTTACCTAAGTTCATGAAGAATAAAATGTCCACTGGAATGGATCAAGGCAATCACAGCTGCCATTTTCTAACATACCTCTTTCTTAGCCAGCAATGCATCAAGTTTAGCATTGGCCCGTTCAACACCAATCTCCAACTGGTCCTCCTCATCCCTCAATAACGCCAAGTTCTGCATGATATCCACATGAGACTCTTCGAGACTCAATTGTGTGTTCAGTGCTTTCAACTGTGCTCTCACAGCAGCTTCAGCTTTTTTCACCTCTGAAAGCTCACTAGTGACATTCCTATGCTCTTTTTCTTGGTCTCTAAGAGTAGATTTAAGAGCCTGGTTCACTTCCTCCAAGTTGGAGACAGTTTTGGTCAACTGGAGATCTTTTTCAACCAAGAATTCGTTTTTGTCACCCCAGCGTTTAACTTCCTTTTCAGCTTCTTCCATGTCCATGACAAGCGAAACAACAGTTTTGCGTTTTTCTTCCAGTTCAGCCTGTTGATTCAGCACAAGACAATCACAGAAATTGGCAATGCTAGAAAATCGGGAAAAGTTCCTCTTGAATTAGAAAGAAGCTAAAAGTTATGAGGGTTGTCCCTCTTGGGCACAACCTTAGTTGTTTCTAGATTATGTATGACAGTAAAGAAAATAATTTGTGATATACCCCAGGAAATTTCAAGGTGAAGTACTGGGATTTTTTTCTAATTTTCAAGAACCTTTTTCAATTTACTGCATCATGATAATAAAAAGTGAACAGTTACAGCCAGATTTCTCCACCCATGTTACAGGGTGCCAAACAATTTTTTAGTCAAGGTCAAAAATCGAAATTTTGCAGTAGTTTAAAAAAAATAATCAGCTTACCTGACACATTTTTAGCCCCCACTGTCATGGGTGGAGAACTCTGACTGAAACTAGAAAATTTTTATCCACCATGCAGTACATCAACAATAATCTTGAATAATCTGAAAAATCACAGAACCTCACAACCTCATAGACTATATCAAAACTTTTTTTTACAGTCATAACTACTCTTGAAATCACCCGAGTAGGCAAACCTGTCATTTCTTATACGCAGTAATTTCCAGAATCTCACCTTCAAAGCCAGATTTTTGCTCAACTGCTGATGCTCTTTATCCTTCCGATCTTCAACACGCGTTTGAAGAGTTTTCACCTCATCCCATTCAGTTTCCAGACGACGTATAACTTCATCAAACTCCCTCCAGAGATTCAACTGAATTCCGAAATCTTCTCCAGCATTCATCTGATCAGTTTCCAGGCCACTATTAGCAATAGATTCTTGAATATTCCTCAACCTTTCGCGCAGATACTCGATAGACTGCTCATCCGTGGTCCACTCCATTTCAGGGATCTTCAAATCAATAAGCTTCTCGATGCGTTCTTCGGTAGCTTCCATGGACTTTTTCCACTGGTACCATTGACTTACTAGTTCTTTTACGCGACGATGAAACAGGAACTGCTGCAAAATATGCTGGAATACGTTCTCCATCATTTTCCTATCATTTGGTTTCACTTTCAAAGATTCTTGCACTTTGGCGCGTTCAGCTTCCATGCAAGAGTCCAACTGATGTTCGAGGGTGACGATGTTTGCTTCTGAATTTGCAATCTTCGCATCCAGCTCTTGAGACACTGTTAGTGTGTCTGCCAAGAGTTGCGTCAGGATTCCGAGAGATGACACCTCCTCCAGTTCATCGTCCAGCTGCGCAACGGCCTCGTGCTGTTTCTTAATACATTCTTCCAAGTCGAGCTTTTTGGACTGGTTTTCATTGAATTCACGAAGCTCAACGTGCTGAGTCAATGACGCAGAAACTTCATTCAGGTTGAATGAAAAGATGTTTGGTAATTCCGCCTTAAGGAGTGCGAAGTCTTTGGCCTGACCGCAATTTTCCAACAGGTGCTCCAAGTATTGATTCTCTGTTGTCTCGGACTCGATTTTCTTATCGATGTCAATCAACTGCTTCGACAAAGAAGCTTGTTCGGCTTTCAAGATTTCCGATTCAATTAGAATAACGTTCAAGTTTTCTTCTTCGTCGTCGTCGTCTTCGCCACCAGCACATTCCATTGCCAACTCGTGGGCCTTGTCCAATTTGGCAAATGCAGCGTCCTGGAATTCAATGTCTTCTAGAATTGATGACTTCAGCTTCTCCAACTTTTTCTCGCGACTTCTCAAGCGATTCAACCCACCTGAATGTAGGAATAATGTGTGAGAAATTAGTTGGCATTCCGGAAATGTGACGGAGAATGACTAGTAACATCACACTTGAAAGGAAAACGGTTTCGAATTTCTAACGATACCTTGTCACCGACGAAGTGAACAATTTGAAAACCTTACACGGTGCCAATGCAGAAATTTATTCTGGCAATTTAAGCATCCGTGAAACAGAATGTGAAGGTTGCTTTAAATTGTCAATCAGCGAAAAAATATTATCCAAGTCAGGGCAGTCATCGAATCAAGAACTTATTTGTAAATGAACAAAGTAGCTTGCTTCAAGTTTTGGTTGATTCTTAATATCGGTTCAGACGATTCTGACCAAAGAACTTAAACACCCACATTCATCTACGAAAATCATGTACACTATATGAATATATAATAGGGTTAAGCAAAAAAATTATTCTTGGCAAAGCAGCACATGAATTTTAAGTGAAGTAAAATGTTTATCACAACTCAAATCTCTGTTTTTCAAGTCAACCCCAAAAATAAAAAGCTCCATTAGTACTTACCCAAGGTCTCCTTGATTTCAGCCAAAATCTCATCGCATTGCGGTAAAATTTGAGTATCCAAACTGATCTTCATCTGAAGATTCCTTGCGGCATTACGATCAAGCGACGGGATGGCGGCGAATTCCGAGAATTTCTCTTCCGAAGCAAGCATACGAATCGAAGAAGCGAGTTCCGTTGTTTTAATTCTAACAAAAGAATAATGCGAACGATGGAGTCAATTAATACGGTCAACTGGGACGCAAAAATGTACAAGAAAACACAGATGACGGCATCTGTACGATTCAGAGGTTTTAAAATTCGCAAAAGAAAGAGAAACAGGAAAAAAAACACGTACAAGCAATGGGCAAATTAATTACTTCCACCACAAAAGATTACGTAGAGGAAGAACAAGCGGAAAAATTAAAGACCGTCGGTACAAAAATAAGCTAGTATCAAGAGATTATGCGCACAAAGAAGCACGAGCAGAATAAAATAAACATAAAAAAAGAGCAATTCAGCAGTAAGCAAACCAAAGAATCTCGACCCGCTCTTCACCGAAATGCATCAACAATCACTTCGGGGCTTGTATAACGAGCACTGCTCTAGAATAATAGCCCGACTTGTGTAGTATTTCAGAATTTCAAACATTTCAACAAAAGAATTTTTTATTTTCAACAAAAAAGTATGACGCAGTCACTCGCACAGACCTTTGAAAATTTAAATACTGTACACGCAAGACCGAAATCCTGAAACTCACGGATTTCCAGTTGCTTTGACTTCCAGCGCAGCTTTCAAAGAGGCCCATTCAGCAGCAACATTTCGGTATGCATCCTGAACTTCAGCCAAGTTTGAATCATAATCTTCAATTTCCCCATCATCCACAGTGGATGCATTCCTTTCATTGCTGAATAAATCAGGAGCATCGATTTCGATTTCATCTCTGATTGCTCCACTACGCACTGCATAAAAAATAAAACGAACGCAAAGATAAATAATCGGATGCTGCTGTCACCAGAATATCCAAAAAGGCTTACAAAACCCCTCAGGAGACTTCCTCTGACTATCCGCTTGGAACATGATTTTCAGTCCAAGTAGTAAGTGATACGTCACACCAAAAAGCTCTGAAACAAGATTGAAGAATGAAAAGTGGCCCACACGAAGCATTCCTATTCTTCAGACTTCGTGGGCAATGAGAAAACTTCAAAAATTCAGTATCACAAATCATTTCTACTTCAACATGAGCCTTTTCCAACATAGGCACTGCACCCAAAAAAAATTTCGAAATGCCATGTGCAACAGAAATCAGAGCTGGATGAAAACTAACGGAGGGAGAAACAGATTACTAAGCTGAAAACAAATTTTGATCTAAAAATAGGTGAGCTGATTGCATTGAAGGTTCGACCACATAAAGTATTTCCCAGGCCACAACCCAGACTAGATCCGATGTCAAATACAATGACCTTAACAAGAAGAATCTTGCATTTCGGGAGGGGTTCGAGCACTCGGCTAAGAGCAAGGCGATTTTTCTTTCGCACTGGTAGGAAAATTTGCAAGATTCCGGCTTATCTGGAAACCCCCGCGGTGTCCCCGTTCGAAAGACAAACTCAACGATCACTTCCATCATTTTTGCAAAACGCGTTTGACAGTTCGCACTACACAATCCGCGTTTGGAACAGCGAGGAGTTCCAAACTTTTCGTGTACGGCATGCATACGTCAGCACCGGTGACTCTCATGATCGGGGCATCGAGTTGGTAAAACAGCTCTTCAGATTCACCCACACGCGAGCTGATGTTCGAACCAACTCCACCAGCAGGCCAACCTTCTTCCACGGTTATCAAGTGATGAGTTTTCTTTATGGAGTCGCCTATGCACTGAGAAAGAGATTTCACAAAAATAACTCGCTGAATATCTTGCCGCTTTTTCGCAATCGTACTGTACACGATTCGGTCATCCGAAGATTTTGATTCTTCTAGCGAAGAAGAAAGAAATGTAACGAATACTGTACCTTCATATCCAGGGGTCGAATGGAACGGAGATTGATGACCTCAGCGTCGATTCCTATTTTGGAAAGCTCCTCGGCACCTTGCAAGGCAGTCTGAACAGCACGCGAGAATGCCACAATAGTCACGTCCTTGCCCTGGCGTTCAATTTTCGCTTTACCGATTGGTATGGTGAAATCGTGCGAAAGAACTTCGTCCGAAACCTCAAACGGGACTCCGTACATGATCTCGTGCTCCAAAAAAACTACTGGATCGGGATCTCGAATGGCAGCTTTCAAGAGACCTCTGGCATCCTCCGCGGAGTACGGTGATACAACCTGTGGGGTAGGTGAATGAAATTATCAGAGACTCCACCATACAAAAGAGATATGAACGAACCTTGAGGCCTGGGCATGAAGCATACCAAGATGCAAAACACTGTGAATGTTGAGCCGCTACTCCTGCAGCTGCACCGTTGGGGCCTCGGAAAACGATGGGGCACGCAAAGAGGCCGGCACTCATGTAATACATCTTTGCTGCAGAGTTGATCACGTGGTCAATAGCTTGCATGGAGAAATTGAAGGTCATGAACTCGAGGACGGGCCTTAGGCCTTTCAGAGCAGATCCTACGGCGATTCCAGCAAATCCCATCTCAGTGATGGGAGTGTCTACCACCCTCTTGTCGCCGTACTTCTTCCAGAGACCACGGGATATTTTGTACGCACCATCGTATTGTGCCACCTAAACAGCAAAAATTACGAACGTGACGTGGTTAATTCAGTCCTCAACCGAACTCACCTCTTCGCCCATGAGAAACACTCGCGAATCTCTCTCCATTTCCTCATCCAATGCAGAATTGAGGGCGTCTCTTACTGTCATCGACGCCGGGCGCGAGCCGATGAGAACCATTCGTGAGGATGGCATTATGCAACTCAAGGCGCTTTTCGCACGACGGCCAAGCACAAACGCCATCGTTGAAATTTTGAAGATACTGTACTTAAGACAAGAGTAGAAGAGAATAATCGAATTTTATCTGCAAGTAAAATCAGGTTCTCACGAATGATTCCGACAAAGATACAAGCTTTTTCTTCGAAGAAAGAAAGACCAGAAGATCCGAACAAGATTCTACACACGCCAAGGTACGCCCTTATGGACGAACTCTGACCCAAAAATGTATGTTCACTACAAGGTAATTCCTGACGCACCCGCAAGTTTTGCTGAACAAATCTCAGATAAATTGACGCACTGCAATTACTCGTGACACCAGGTTTTAGCTGCCCAGGCATGTTTTTTTTTTATCATAACCTCCCGATTTAACCTAACTGCCTCGAAGTTTCAGGATTCTGCAAAAACTGACTTCGGGGCAGTTGTGTAACAGTTTTGTAACCTAACAACCCCAACAGACAGTTTTTGCGGAATCTGTCAGAATGAATTAAGGCGCAATTGTTGACCGTGCGGGAAAGCCTCCGCAGAAATGACAACCGTGGAAGTTTAGGTGTGGATCGCTCTCCCTACCCCTTGATCAGTAAAACAGTGTTGCTGAATGATTGGGAAGGAAGAGGAATTAATTTTGAGAATGACTAGACGAAGCCGCTATTGACCATGCAAGTGATGTTCTTAGCGACACCTAAGTGGATGGATTTTTGCGCGAAGCTCCCGGGGTGCTTATGAAAAGCCCCGCTTCCTGCTATGCATAATAAAGAATTGTCCATAAGAAATGACAGGCCCTCATCTTCAATCACGATTGGTAACTACCGTATTACGATGTCCCTACAGAACACTGGGTGATTCGGCGTCAAACATAACGTGGATATCAGGGTAAAGGCGTTCATGTGCACCCTGATCGAATTCCCACTGTGCACTACCGGTCGCTCCCTCAATCTTTACCGGTGGGCTGGATGAACCTGCAGATTGGTAGCGAATTGTTGTGCTAGGTGTCGCTCAAAGACTTAATCTGTGGTGCAAAGTTCAATAGATGTCGTTTTTCTGCGTCGCACATGTACTCGTGGCAGCGGAATCTTTGTCAAATGCCTTCTAGAGCCGTAAAGATTGCGCGCCTAAACATGATGGTGGCCCGGCGACTTGTGTGAACGTGGCAGGCGTGTCGAATGTTCCACGTGAACACGTTACAGGCGCAGTGTTTATTGCCAGATGTGTTGGCCTTCGGAGACCGCGTGTGAGGATAGGGATAAAGAAATGTCGATTACCCGTCAAGTGATGATTAGAGAAGTGTATTGTGTCGGAATCAGTAGTCCACTTTTTGATTGGAAGCTAATTGGTTGATTTCAAGTCGCGACCGGCCGGCGCCTCTTTCAGTGTTGGATCTTCAGACGGATGTGTTGATGTACTACAGAATAGTTGGCATTCGAAGTTATGAGCATCCAACTGATGACTAGTGAATCTATGCTCATGAATACGGGAGTGACCGAGTGTACAGGCGAGTGCATATGTTATAATTACCATAATGAATTCGAAGCGTTGTTCTTCAGCACGGTTGCAATAGTTGAAGGAGGGGGTTATNTCTTCAGCACGGTTGCAATAGTTGAAGGAGGGGGTTATTTCTGTCCGGCGGCGGATATGTGAACTCGAGAAAATTATTGTTCGTTGGTTTAGTGCTCCCGCAGCGTTCAATGTGCGTAGAGTTGTCTCTTACGAGAACTGCTGGAATGAACGTGTTGAAACTGGTTTTTGCGAAGCCGAGTCAGAATTCAGCCAGAAGGACCAAGTGCTTGTTAAATAGACATGTCGCTTGTTTTTTTGCCTATGCAATGTTTAATAAAAAGTTCCTTCGTTTCAGCAATCAATTGTTGATGAATTCCAAGTCCAAAGCGCTCTTGATAAGCACGTGTGCCCCCATAGCGTTATTGTCGTACTACTATTGGTTAGCGAAGCAGAAACGTGAGGTTTCTACCGACGTGAACGTAAGCGATATCCTGAAGGTGATCGCGAAAGAGAGTGTTAGTTGGACGAAAATAAGCCAGACTCGAGTGCGTCACAGGAGTACGAAATCTGCAATGGAGGAGAACAACATTCAACAGAGTCAAGACGATCTTGAACAGATTCCAGCGTTTCACAGCCTGGAAGCCGGTTGCGATCAGAATGGAGCCACGTTCTCGGACAGTTCCAGTGAAGTAAGTTGTTTTAGGCTGTTCATTTTACTGGTCGCGTTTCATGCATTTGGGTTCGTGAATGTCACAGGTGTCATCTGATTCCGGAAAAGGAGGAAGCGAGATCGCTAATCTCAACAGCTTGGACAATGCTGCGGTGCAGCCGTACACGTTGTATGAGTTTGAATTGTCTCAACCCTTGGTTGGGTTGTTGATCGGCAAGCACGGATGCAACGTGCACGAGATCCGAGATAAGTGCGGAGCAAGTGTGATTGTGAGAAAGCATCCGTGCAACCACCGCATGAAGCTCATAACAGTTGAAGGTTAGTGTATCATTGACTATTTCCAGCAGCAATGCGTTTCCCCCTCCCCCCCACCCCGGCATTTGAAAGGCGACACGTGGGAGATAAGGGTGGGAAAGTGACACCTGGCGGGCGTTAGGGAGGCGCCATGTTTCTTCTCGCGTCTGAGCCGGTTTTCGTAAACGTGGCGCAATTTTTGAAATGTTCCTTGCCGGCCTGGCGTGTTATCTAGGTCAGGGCTCTTCACATTGTGGCGCACAAGAACACTAGCCAGGTGGTGCACCGAAGCGCTTGAGAAATGAACGTCGCATGTCTAGAAATTCCTTCGAAACGAACTGGGGGAAGGAGTTTCTTCTGAACAATTTTTCGGGCAAAATGGGCTTTCCATGTTGCTTAGTAAGAAGAGTGAAATCTCGTTGCAATGGGGCCCAGAGATAGTAGGATAACTTCGTTGTAATGAAAAAATTCGTTATGAATTACAGTTACTCCTTCAATATTTTGGCTATTTGGTGGGACCTGGAAATCGTCTTCGTTGGAGGCGATTATTCGTTATGAGATCGACTGTATTTAAATTAGGCCACATGAACTGCAGTACAGTACCACAGTTTCGGACTTGAGCGTGACTGGATTTAAAGTTTGGGATGGCTCTGCGAAGGCTTTAGAATCCACAGAAAGATCGTGAAGCGGCTAAAGCCCTCGTTCATAACTTACATGGAAGGGTACATGACGAGAAGATTTTTGAAAACTAATTTTCTTGTTCGAAGTCAATTTCTCTTGTACTTGCTTGGTTACATAGGAGAAAGCGTTGCAGGAAAAATTCATACTAGGGATGTGATACTGTACAATACAGTAATGCAAAATTTGTCGAAATTCCTCGATAAAATAAATTTCGGAATTATTTTCTGCGTCTATTACGACTGCATCCTCTGGATTTCCGACGAAGGTTTTGCATTAAAAGGTTGATAAAATTGACCGATTGCAGATGATTTTTCAAATGCCTTTAAAGAAGTTGAATTGAACCTTTCTGGTGAGCAATACCCGTGATAAATTTGCCGGATGACCCTTTTGTATGAAAAAATAATCATACGGGATGTGGAACAGCTCGATTCCCTATTACAGTATGTAACGTAATTTCTAAAAAAAAAAAATAGGCATGACAGTACGTGTGCGGTGACCTTTTTCAACCTTGCATTGCTCCTTCAAGTTGATTTAGTGAAATCTTCCGAAATTATTTTTCACATTCGGAAAAAAAATGCCGCAGTAATCAAAAGGAATGTTTACGTGAAGATGCTCTTCCAGTTGTGAAGGTTAAATCTGTTTGTTCGCCTTTGTTGTTTGAAAATCCTTCTTTCATGCTCTAATGCTCTCAAGGATAGTCTTTGAAGATGTCCTTCGAGGATCGCACGCGCGTCGATACATTGTGATTCTTCCCTGAACTGCCTTTGTTACTTTTTTCTGGTAAGATCAGATATTTTGATATACAGTATTGTGTATCACAGTATTCGGTAAATAGCGGAGAGCGATCCTACCCCTCATTTGCCTGCGCTTAACCCACCCAAAAAAGGCAGAAAAAGGGTCACAGGGATGCCGCTCGCCACCCCTCCTGTCCGGCATCAGAAGACAGCTAGCATAGTCCGTATTTTGGGGAATGTTATTTTACGAGTATGCACAGACAGGGGTATCTGAGGGCACGATGTCCCATGCACCAAAAATATCAGGAAGGAAGAGGAGGGGAGCTGAGCAGGCGCGGAAAGTTGACAACAAAGGACCCCTGCCGGACCCTTTTTCTGGGACCATTACTGCGTGTAAATGAGTTCCTTGACGGCGGAGAGCAACTTGATGTCCTGAAAAATCGAGAATATTTTTGACCGATGTAATCTTTGCTCATGCGAATCGCGCGGTTGCAATAATGAACACGCTCGAGAAAATTCTGGAAATGATTCAAAATGAGAAGTTCTTCAGTTCTTGTTCCTTATCTTCAGATATTCTTGTAGAATTTCAAGGGAATATTTTGTTGAGAGTTCGTTCAGAGCTTTGAAAGTTGTAAAAACTTCACCTCCACCGTGTCAAGTACTTGCGGATTTCATTTGCGCGGCATTTTTTGTACTGTTATTTTCTATTCGCCGTAAAAGTAATGGTCACTCTGTCGAATTTAGGTATGGGCTCACAGCTGAAGGAAGGAATTTTTATTTCGTCGTGCGTTGTAAAGTCAACACTTTCTTTTTCATTTGCTTCCAGGTTCACAACAGCAGATTGACGAAGCTTTGGTGATGATTCGCAAGCGTTTTCCCCCGAAGCGCTTTCCCGAAGTGAAGCTGGAGCGTGTCGATTATCTTTCCAGCCACTTGATCAACTTGGGTTTGCAACCTGCACCCATAATTGTTCCCAGCACGTATCAGGTAAAACGACCGATATGAAGTACTTGGGGTTCATTTTTAAAACAAACACGTCGCCACGATATCTCCAGTACCTTAGCACAAAGCATGTCGACGTTGTAACGAGAAATCTTTTTTACGCTTGCGTCGGAGTAGTACAGTAGTATTGATTATTCAACGGAATTGGTTTAGTACTTGGAAAATTTTGTTTACTATCGTATATTTTGGTGGATGCTTGTCACCGTATTTTACGCTCTGGAGTAAAATTTGAGTTGAGACTTAAGCTCCGATTATGCGAAAGCGTGGAACGTCGTAATTCTCCGAAACAAAATTTATCGGGGGGAGAATGGGTTATCATATCTTATTATATTGAATTTATCATAATTTATTCTTATGTAAATAAATAATTATAGTGCCGTAATTCGAATGTATGCAACTTTTTTTTTTTCAGAATACCGTTTTTGTTTAATTATACTGTTGGCAATATTTTCCTGGATTGCTAGAGGAAATACGAGCGTTATACGCAGTAATGAGATAACGTATCATTGAATTGTCTGTGGTGTTCGTGTAGAAAGTCGATGTAGAGCAATTTATAATGTACGAAGAATGATCGTTTCCGGGCGGGAAAAAACAAATGTCTGCCAAATTTTACGCCGTTACTCGGACCTGGCTGTGCACGTGTTTAATTTCCAAGGGTGAAATTTCCGTGATTAATGTTCGTTCTCTTTCTTTCTTTTTTTTTTTTTTTTTTTTCCGAAGCTCCATTTGCCGGCGAGTGTGATGTTCGATGCGTACGTGTCAGCAGTCGTGAGCGGCGGACAGTTCTTCCTTCAACAGCCGACTCATCCCACTTATTCATCGTTGAAGACTTTGGATCAACTAATGACTGTTTGCTACTCTGACCTCACTTGTCCTGGTCTTCCGCGTCCACTTGACAGTGAGTATCGTTTGAAAGCATTCATATTTAATTAATGCAGATGTCCTGCGATGTTTTTTGAGCTGCAGTTTATTTTTAACGTAGTTTCGCCGAACTTTTACGGGTTTTGCGTACTTTACTGCGGTTCTTTCGTTTTTTACTGTGGGGCCCCGAGATGCGGACGTAAATGGGGCTTGTGTCGGATCACGTTTTTACCATGGTCTTTACCATTGGAAAATATTTATTTGGCTCCTCTTTTATCACGAATAAAACCACAAAAAGTTTTTTAAAATTTTCACATCTTCGAGATGCAGAAAAAAACAACATTGAATATGATCTTTTGGCATCAAAAAGAGCTCTAGAAGCCAAGGACAAGTCTTTCTATACCGTGCGAAGATGATGGAATAAAATTCTGAAAAGGCACCCTTAGCCTGTTTTTGATATTCAATTAGTTATTTCATGATGAAATGTTCATTTGTACATGGCTGAATGTGTTCAAGAGATATAAAAATTTAGCAAAACGGGACTTTTTCATGAAATCATGGAGAATTGTTCGTATGTTGAGACATTGTATGAATGTCTGGGCAGATTTTTTGAATTTGAAGTGTCCGTAAGTGGAATTGTTCATATGTCGTGGTCCCACTTCAATTGTCCCGCATTTCCCGTGTCAGTGATTTTTTGACGCACGTCTCGCGTTGAATTCGGCAATTAGTGCGTGGCTCTTTTGCGTCACCTGTCTGATGTTTGTGGAGTGGCGTAGTAGTAAGACGAAAAATTGCCCTCTTATTTTTACTGTTGCAGTACTTCAAATCTGCTCTATACGAGTGTTCTTCGTGTCAAGACGTACATTTGGTCGAATAATTTTGTACAAGTCTTTCTGTTCGCCCATTCACCAGAAGTGAATCCCTAGATCGGAATACTGTACTGTATCTAGTTAGTCATTTTTGTCGCAACGACTTGTGTACAGTATTGTACTGTGATCCTCGAATTTCTGGAACCTCGGCTGTGACGTGTGTGAGAGCAGACTAGTGCTAGAGTAACGATATTTATTCATGATTCTTAAGTATCTGAATGCGTTTATTCCGGTCTTGGAAACCCGTTCTGAAGCCTTGAAAAATTAGATCGTGAGATCACCTTGATACAAGAATACAGTATTGGTGTCTGAGGGTTACTTCAGAAGAGAATGACCCAGAGTCTAGTTTTATTTTCTCGTCTCTAGGTATCAAGGTCAGGAGTCACAACTTCGTTCATCATTAGAGATGTTTTTGTGGAATTTTATCGGAGAATTTTTATTGGATGTGATGTGATACCTATAGTTTTAAACACCTGGCGCATCTGTCAAGTTTTTCTGATTAATGATTCAAAACTATTTTTTTATTTTTAGCTGGGATGGTGTGCGTGGCCCCAGCACAGGGAGGTTGGTTCCGCTCCCAAGTTATGTCGCACGAAAATGACTCTGAAAATGTGACCATCAAGTTCCTCGATTATGGCGGTTACGCCGAACTTCCTGTGGAAAGCCTGCGCCAAATCCGAATGGACTTCGTTTGCTATCCCTTCCAAGCTGCCGAATGCTATCTTGCCAATATTATCCCTGTCGACCCCAATGGTGAGTGTCGCTAATTTTACAAAACCTCTTGAATAACAGGTGTATTTGAGAACGTTTCGAGGAATTCAAATTGATTTCATATGTGATGTGATTGAAACTGAACTATGTTTGCAGGGAGTGAGGAGTGGTCTACTGAGTCAGCAATCGCTTTAGAAGAACTTTGCTCGGGAAATGTGCTTCAGGCTGAGGCGTTGGGGTGTACTGTTGAAGGTGTTTCTGTGGTGAACATCTACCGTGTTAATGAAGATATGGTGAGTGACGTCTACTGATTATATTGATGAATACGATGCTAACTTCGAGCTTTTCCGTCGTATTGCATATTAATCGCACGACATCGAAAGCCAAAATCTTTTAAATAGGCTCGCAGTTGAGATGAGAAAATTTCATTAATTTTGACTTGAGTCGCGTTTGTTGCAATTTTTGGCTGAAGTCGCGAGTTTTCAATGCATTAGAAACTCGTTTTAACGAATCATTGCTGGCAAAAAATTTGTTTTTCATGCCTCTGCACGATAGGCCTAATGTTATTAGGGTTGCTATGCGACGAATTTGTTCATAACTAAGCCTTTTTCCAGCTCTTAACAGCTGTTGAGATATTTTTCCATTTAACCTTGTTCGAGTAGCTGTAATCTGATGGTTCAAGGTCGTCTTGGAAGCTGTAAAAGTTTCGAGTTCGTAAAAAAAAGTTCTTTTCGATTCCAGACTTTGTTGAATATCAACGAAGAGATGGTGCGAAGAGGTTATGCCAAGTGGATAGAGACTCCCGAAGGAACTGGACCTCTTCTAGAGGAAGACGCGAGAAAAAACAAGTCTGAAATCGCATTGAAACCCAAGCAAGAGGAAAACATAGTTGGAGGAAAGAAGAAAAGCAAGAAGGGAAAGAGTCGCAAGAAGGAAAGGTTCGACAGCATCGAAGACGCAGCTAGGAAACTCAAGGACATGTCGCTGTAATGGAAGCATATTGTAGCGTTGATTCTTATCGTCGGTATAAGATATTTCTTTCGAAGGCATTTTTTCCGGAAGGATGCTGTGGGACGCGTTCTGTCGCCCTTGACAGAGGGGGTTCTTTTTTTTATCTTCCGAGAAAGATATTCGATCTGGTCTATCCTAGAAGACTTGACTTATAACATCTTCGGGTTTAATACTGGAGTGGTTTTTTTGTGGCTATGGTAGGTTACGTTTGTTTAGGAAGCAATATTAAATTCTCGTGTACGTGGTTAAACAGTGTCAGAGCCACTGGGAAAGTCCCGTTTGTACATGGGCGTGATAAATATTCTTGGTGAGCGACTGCACCCGGTGGGACGTGAATGACTTGTTACGCCGGGGGGAAAAAAATTCAAGTTAAGCCCGCGCCTCAGGGCGTCAGCTCGGTTGTTCTCTCCTTTCTCCCCAGAAATTGTATGCCAAGACTGTAGAAAACTGATCCGGAGTTCTGTTTTGATTTGATCCGTGCGATCGAAAAACTTGTTGCGCAGGGATTTTTTTTCTCTGATTATACAGTGTTTCTGAGTGTACGCATGGGTTTTTCGCGAGGTTGTTGAGTTGGGCAAGTGGTGGATTATTGTGAGAGCATCTAGTGAACTTTGTTTTTTGGTCCATGGGTAAGGCCCCCAATTTTTCTCCCAAGGGTAAAAGCCGGAAACTTGTTTCCTAGTTACCGTTTTCTGCAAAGCTTCTGTGATTCATCATTGCAGGGAGAATGCAAAAAAATTTCAGGCACATTTTCCACGAAGGAGAGACGACGCTGTGTTTCTTGTCGTTGAACGGAAAATTTAATTTTTCTCGTCTCGCAATAGATTTTTAGCCTTGTTGCCATAATCTGTCTTTCTCTGAGAGAGATGTACTTAAAAAAAAATCTGATGGAGTTGTTAGCGACTGTAGCGTGGATTTCGACTGTGAGGCGCCCTAGGGAATGATTATATTTCTGTAAGAAAGAAGAAATTGTGCTTGGAAATCCGCTGGAGTAGGTGGTGACAGTTAGAATGTCATTCGACTGGGAGGCGTCCGAAAGGAATGGTTATATACTGTGCATAATTTTTCAAAGACTCAGTATTTTCTGAAATTGTGTTACGTTTTTTCGAGTTAGTTGGTTGGATGGGAAACCGCAGAAAAATCGGGACCTTAGCCATGGGATTTTTGACTGTGTACTTGGAGTATCGCGGCCTTCTTGATTTCTGTTTGTTGAGGCATATTGCCTTGTTTTTCTTCCATAGGGAGTGAATGACGTGTGCTGCTTTCAGAGTGGGTCCTATTCGTTGATTAGAATGGGGTTGTTTTTGTTTTTTTCAGGACTGATGTATGTCAGTCAAGTGTGGACTGAGATGAGAGCTAAATTGAGTTCGCCATAATTTGGGAGTTTATGGTCTGTGTTGGACAGATGGTGTAAATGAATTCAAACCGTAAGAAATTAATCAAGAAACGATTCTCCCTTCGATCAAGTGCAATTTTCCTTCAAGAAGTTTGGATATCCTTGTTATGTTTCTAGTTATGCTGCTGGTCCCCTGCAGACTTTTGTGTTCTTGGCTCAGATTCCTACGGAAAATGTTCTGGATTGCGTTGGGATTGTGCGCACTGAATTTGTCCGATTTCGTCATTTTTTCAGTTTAATAAAGAATCCGTTTGTATGTACCATACCCTCTGAAAATCCGATGTTTCTCTTTTTACGCGACGCAAATTAATTACACGAGTGGGAAAGCCTTTACTCCTATATCAGATGACCTTTATAACATTGAGACGCAAGTGCAATACTGTACAAGAAATTTCAGTACATGTATAGTCGAACCGCAATAAGCCATGAATATTTTACAGGCTCTTTATGGTGGTTTTGGAGAGGTTGTTGGTCTATAAAAAAAACCAAAATACTGTACTCCACACGTATGATATGAGATTTTTATTATTCTATATACTGTAATAATAAAACAATCGTCGGATACGCGATTAATATCTAGCTTATGTTCCTTAGAAGTGATTTGTTTGATCTGTGTGTTCATTTTCGGTGGCGACCTCTTATGTCAACTTTAATCACGTTGGAGGGGTGTTGAAGACGAAATTATTTGACAGAAGCCTATTTGAGTCATTGAGAATTACGTTGGTTGTCATTTCACGAGGGTTTTCAATCTTATGATTAAGGAAGATCTTTTTTTCAATAAAATGACAGTTTACGCAGGTGTGGTGACTTATCAGAGGAAGCATCTTAATTGGGTTGAATTGTATACTCGCTTGCGAAAAATCGAGCTTCGGTTTCTTTGCCGAATTACAATGTCATTGAAATTTTCCGTTTATTTTTTTTTAGATGAGAGGTTTGGGAGAGTACAGTACAGGTATTTAGTGCAGGGCATAATCGTTATGCAGTACTGTGCTTCTATTATATGGCTGTAGAATTCTTTTACATCCTGACAAAACCGATAGGTCTGACTGGGAATCTCCCATGCATAATATTTAATAATTATTTATTACAAATTACATTTACAGTATACGCAAAATTGAAAAACTTCATTGAACAGAAATGACGTCTTAAGCTCGATTTTTGCTCTTTTAGTCATCATACGTCATGAAGTTAAAAATAGAGCCATCCTGTCGATCTACGCATATATACAAGGATCCCATTTGGGGGGATCTCAGATGCATCCTCTGCTACAGCCTCCCTAGCACGTATGCTTCCGGCCCCTTTACCAATGTATTTACGGTACCTTTTGTCGGAATCACCGTTTTCCGGGGATGATGGTCTTTTTCTGGTCCTTGGATAATCTTGGGAAATTCATTGGCCATTGCTGATGCTCATTGCACTGCTGCTTGTATTTCTATATGGGTATTTTTTAATTTCATATTTTAGTTTGTTGTACATTTTTAGGGAATATTGAATCAAGGCACGTTCAAAATTGAAGGTGTCTTTTGAATTATAATATTTCCTTATTATTAGTTGAGCCAAAGTGGTTATAGAAATGATGACCATTAAAAATTAATTTTAAAATGAAAGTTTTATGTATGAGAAGAGGGATTCATGATTCACTCAGCCTGTATATCACAAGTTAATTACTGTATTATAAATTCAGTGACTAGAATTGACAACAATTCCTATTACTGTATTGTATATTTGTTTTCGAAGCTCTATAAAAAGCATTTTGGATCTGCCTCCACACAAAGCTGTAGTCCTAAATGTAATATAAGAATTGTAAATTTCATGACAGGTGAACTCTCTGAACAAAAAATTTCCCATGACCAGAAATAAATTGTTGCAGAGAACTCTGTGGGACCAAAAACCTTTTATGCAGAAAAAATTGTCTTAGATTTAAGTGTTGCAGGTAGAGTCCATCTGTAGAATGAATTTTCACAGGTTCTTGAATTTTCTTGTTAATACATTTTACTGTACAATCATGGATGCATTAAACTGTTCAAGATATCTCAAGGATTTCCTTCAAAAATTGCTGAATGAATGTAGAAAGAAGGACTGCATAAAAATATAGTACAGTATTAGCAAAAACACTCCAGGACAAGGAAACCATGCCAGCAAAATTAGGAAAAAAATGGGATATTTGGAGGATTTTTTATTTTTCATTTCATTTTTTACAGATGCTCTGTTTTCATCGTGATTATCGGATTTTGTGCGGAGATGTGGAAGCGCGAAGACGCCTGAATTTCGAAGTGGAATTGCCGGAAGTTAGTCCTCAGGAGGCTGATAGTGTGTTCAGGTGCTCAAAATGCCAGAAAACCAAATCCTCTCATGTGAGTCGCCATTCATCCGAAGAAATCTTTTTATTGCGGGGGGGGGGGGAGTATATGCTACGAATTCAAGGCTTTTTTCATCTAATTTTTATCCGAAATATTTCGTGTGTGGACATAATTTCACTAGCAAAAATTTGAGATAGACCCTTTCGCATTTCGTAGTGGCAATAGATTCTGTTTGACGAAATCTGGTAATTTAAAACTTGCTGCTTTTCTCGGTCTATTTCGAAATTCAGATATACAGGATTATGCTTTTTTTTATCAAGATCGATCAGGGTAAGAGTATATTCGATGCATTTTCATCAGAATCGTAGACTCTGTGCCACATTCTCACCGTTAGATACTGTACTTCATTTCATCGAAACACATCACAATTTCGCAGAAGAAAACAATTAAACCCGCATGTATACACACATTATTAAACCACAGTACTTCGGTAATCCGACTTCGAAAGATTCGTCACAGTTCGATTGAACATACATTGAGATTCATCGCATGTAAATTGAATCACCTCTGTTAGCCAAATCACGTACGTTCCAAATTTATCCGTTACATGACTTAAACCCTGAATGAAACATGTGGAACGTGTATGAGCGAATCACCGTCGCGTACAAAATGCCAACGTTTCTTTCAAGATTTCACTGGAATCAAAATCAGAAAAGCTCCTTTACACATTTGAAGAAGTCACCATCATGTTCCTGAACATGAGACTTATTTGAACGAAGTCACAGCATCAGGCAACACCAAATTTCAACCAAAAGCTTCAGATATCAACATATACGGTAAACTGATGAAAAAACATTTCAACGAATCACAAAAAAACAAAGATCACCCGCAAACGTATCCCAACCCTCAAAAGCTCTAGTTAGTCAGGTTCCGCAGTTTTTACTTCAATTTGTAGAGTCATATGACATATCCAGAGGCCCTTTTGGCTTGCGGATAACATCAAACAAATCCAAATCAGAGCTGATGTAGGAAGCATCATCTTTGAAATTCTTTTCCTTAGCCTTTTTAACGTCCTCCTCCAGGTGGAGTTTCTCCTGGATCAACCTCTTCCGTTCAACACGTTCCTGTGAGGAAGAGAACATACAACCAGTTTATTTTACACTTATTGCTGAATTTTGAAAACCCAAGATTTTGACTTTTTTTACACAATGGATTCAGATTGAGGACCTTACTTACAATATTAAGATTGCAAGGTAATTTATTTTCCTCAAAGAATATAAAGTCACTGAGAAAAATTTCACAACAGTACCAGCATGATTTTGATGTAGACACAGACTTTTTTCCTTCTTGAACTCTTTGATTGTATCAATGATTGTTCTCCTTGAGCTTTGACAATCAATTAATGACACACAGTTGTCTCATATCTTATTCAAACTTAAAATGTATTAAATTACCATATTTACTGAAGTCCCATTTGCCTTCAAGCAAGATGCACACCAAGGATTTTCAGTCAAAATGTTGATGCAATTGTATCCCTGAGCAAGACGTGCACAGTGTCGAAAATTTAGATGAGGGGTGTTTAGAAACATGAGATTTGCTGGGAATCGGCAAAAGACCGATAATCCTGAAGGAATC